CCCCCTCCCTTCTATTCAGATCATCTATTCCGATGAAATAGAGTATGTGTTTAGATGCAAGTGGGGAGACTAACAAGATACCGTACCACCTCTCACAATATGGATATATGATGCAACTCTACCTAACAAGAAATCCAGTTATTGCACTAGCGCTTTAGTTTATTCTCAATGCAGCAAGTGAGGGAGCTGGCTGCAATCCTGCTGTCTACGGGAAGTCATACCTTCTATTCAGCTCTCTATTCCAATAGACTTTGATCCTGATAGACTCATGGGAAGTCCTCCACTATATAGTGTTGGGGGATTGAACTTATCTACGCTTTCTGAATTACTGTCTGAATGCTAAGGCGTCCCCCGTTGCAAAATATTTGGTTCACAGTATAGCCGGCCGGAACCATACTAACAAAGGGCAATTCAGGACACCCACCCCTCTGCCATAGGAACCAAGGACCACAAGTGTAGGGCCCATAAAGTCGATATAAATCATATTAGTCAGATAATGGTATATCGAGAAATAAATTACAAGCTCAGAATTTCAATGAGAAGATGCTTCGGTCTCCGGCAGTGAATTACCCCTACAGCGACCCCCAAAAGCTTCCCTACCAGCCTAGCGATCTCCTCTGCTGCAACGCACCTCTCCCGCTCAGCCTCCGTGCGCTCCCTACTCCTCTCCGAAATATCACCAATGTTGGATAACGGAGACGGTGTTCATTGCCGCAAGGCGGGTCCCCATGGTGGCAACCTAGCTACTCAATTCTCCCGTTATCTTGTCATCCGGAAAAATCCTGCCGCCATCTCCCACCGTATCCTGATCGATGGCATATATGGTAATCAGAGTATCGCCATCTCCCAGAACCGTCCTGATTGTTCACTCCAGGGCATGCTGGGCTTCCCCACTCAAATCCGTAGCAACAAGATCCTTTTGCACCCGCTTAGTACCTTCCTCTACCTCCTTGACTACTGACTCATATTCCCCATGCAGAATTGTCCTAACGACATGTTGAGTCTCTGGTGTAGAAGTTATAGGAGAGAAGATCATCACCATTCGTTGAGCACGGTGCAGATCGTGGGTGTCCGCTTCTGTATCCGAGGAGATTGCCATAGAGTTATGCGACGGTAGGTCGAAATTTGTAGACTGACACACACCCGATTGTCCATCTTTTGTAGGAGATTTGCTCCATGGATGCTACCAGACGGGGTAATCGATATCGGGGGCAGGTGGGAGTGAACAATATACCTTGTACTCAGCCTTCCCTATCGGAAAAGTTAGAACCACCCCTAGAATGTGGGTAGGAATACATGCATTCTTCCTCCACAGCAGCCAGTAAACTCACGCTTGTCCTCTGCCCACTAATGGCCCCCTTCCTGATGTTTATTCCACCTCCTTTCTTCTCCCACCTACCCACCCCCTGCGGAATCGCCCCTAATCCTGATCATAATTTAATCATACCTGGGCCTTTCTCTACCGTCTCCTCCGTTCTCGCGGTGCTACTTTTACTGCTGGGGCCGGAACCATTTCTGAGCGTAGTCGTCCTCCCTCTCCTCTCCTCTTCCTCACTCGCAGGTGCATTTAATGCAACGCTTTCCTCGACACTACTAGTCTCGTCTTCACCATAGGAATCAATCACTGCACATTCATCGACATCACCCTAGTCCCTTTGCGATCCCACACACCCTCCGTTTGTCAATGACTCCCCAGTGCCAGCCTGGGGTGGTAATAGGCCCGCGCTCCGGCAACATTCGCAAAACTCCCCTTGATCTCACTAGTGCGCTATCTGAGGGCTTGGTACTGGCATGTTCTAAATCAAGTGGGATACCGGCATCGTTGGTTATTTGGTTGGAGATCCAGTTGCAAGCGACTGGGGGACGAGAGGCCAGTCATCCAGAAGAAGATCCCGGGGATGCAGATCTCTGCATGTGATGTAATGCGACATTTGATATCGGTGAAAGCGACCATCTCCCTGGAGGCCCAAGGCTGCCACAATGCGAAGAGGGCAGGGCAGGGTCATTCTAAGAAGCTTGAGTGGCTTGTGGCTGGACAGGTGGGGAAACCGAAGGGAGGGCAGCAAAATTGTAGGCAGCTTTGGGGGTAAGGGTTAAAAATGTCATCTGGTTGCTTGGTGTAGTTGGTTCTACACCACGGAACCACCCAAAAGTTGATCAATCTCTTCCCCCCCCCCTAAACCTGAATAGGGAGGTGATGAGTCAGTCATTGGTTGGACAACACCATTAAAATTTGCGGCTAAAAAAAACCAAACTTCCCCCCCCTTCAATAACCCCAACTTAGGGATATTTAGTGGGGGCTGATCCACATGAGAAACGACACCTCCATTATTTCAACTCACTATCCTTTGCACCACTTCAGATGCCCATTTTCGCTACTGGAACTGTAACCAAACCAGTATAACCTACTAGCAGTCACCTTTTTTAAGCCGAGGTGAAATAAATTTCTCTCACCTCCCGAGGCCAGTTATCACTTTTACCCTCAACCGGATCCAATTCCTTCTACGGCACTCCCCCCACCGGGAGCGGTGCAATACATCACAAGTCTAAATACTTAATGTTCATCTCTAGGGAAGGCCTAGAGTGGGTTCGCATGATATGATATGGAAGGTAGCCCACAGATAGAGATATGGAGGGAAGAGAGGAAGGCGGAAAGGATGGAAGGGAGTAAGCACTTATCATATCCTCCTTCGAGGTGGAAAGAGGGGGATCGGTATGATATCATACCAGTAGTTATCATGCATCATAAGGGGAGGGAGTACCCTTAAGCTAGAGTGCTGGGTGGGTGATTGGAAAAACAAAAACAAATAGGTTTTGGGTTTTGCAGGATTTAGTAAATGGGTATGGGTTATACTAGAGCATGGAAAGGCGCTAGGATAATAAAATTTGTTGAAATATGATAATATACAATTTAACCGGAGTCATCATTCGTGACGCGGGATACAATAGTCTCATGCTACCATAGTAGTACCCTATGGACAGATAAAGTCTAATGCAGAAAGGCAAAGCATATCGTATCTATTTCTCAACAGGAATAACTGACCAACTAGCATACCGCAACCGAAAAAAGTAGGCAAAGCTACAACTGTAAACCTAAATATCCCCCCACCCACGCTCGCATTTTATGATAATTATCTACCACCACGCTACCCACTTTCTTCGGCCAAGGCTCTGGTTCCCAGCCGGCAAGATTGAGGTTAGTCCTATTCTTGGAAAAACTAGTTGGTTGGTTAGTGGAGGAGTTCTTGAGCTTCTGGCCGATATGGCTGACTTTACCGTTATCACCACAAAGGTTGGCCCCCGCCATTCAAGTCATTGGTGTCTCTTTGATGGAGATCTTTGATTGTGTTTTCCTTCTTGCCTGTAATAACAGATAGGCCTACTCAGATTCTTCCGTCAAGCGGCCTGCTTTCGCGTCTATGCTTTATGACAGTTCGGCATCTTCGCTGCTCTCACCCTCACCCTCCGCCTTCTCATCACTCCCGCCGTTGAAGTAGCAGCTTACACCTTGTTTGCGAGACTCTGGGACCCAGACGGAGGTCGAGATTCTAGCAGTACACGTGAAGACATGTTACCCGATGGTGGTGGAAGTGATGGTAAGGCTTCACACAATTTGACAACTTGATACTGTCAGACTCCTCATTCTAACGGGGGCATAGTTGGGCATGGTCGACTACGAGAGGGAGGAGCTTGCTGAAGAATTGTTGGGAGAGGAAGGCAATTATGAGGGGGATGACGAAGGATCTACTGGAGCAGAGGAGCTGGAGGAGCTGGAGGAGCTGGAGGAGCTAGGGGAGCTTAGAGGACTTGAAGTAGGCTTGGATAGTTAAGGAAAAAGCTATTTTATTTATCTAAACAGTTCACAGTTGGAAACCAGGTTCAAGTACCAAACCGTTTTAAATCATGTGTTTTATTTTGTGATCAGAAAGAGGATTTATATCATAGTAAGTAAAGCTATCAATAAGCAACCTCACAGAAGTGGAAACTGTACTCAATCTCATGATCATGCTTGAGCAATTACTTTTCTCGGGTGCTTGATCATGCTCGAGCAGGCACTTTGCTCGAGTACTCGATCACTCGGTCACTCGATCATACTCGACCATTTGCTCGAGCATTCGATCATGGGGTCCCCTCGATCAGATCATGCTCGAGCATATCCCCCATGATCTGCTCGAGCATGATCGTGTCCATCACTAGTCCAGCTGCTTGTTTCTCGAGCTCTCGTATCCTGTTCTGACAATAGTCATCAAAATGGCACCAATTTTTGAAGGGTATGGTTTCATGAGCTGATCCCCGTCCAAAGTAGTGAAGAGCCTCTTCACGGTATCCAAGAGTTTATCAATCCATGTGAGCCGTAGAAGGCTCTGATAAACAGCCTCGAGCAATATTAGCACTCGCTCAATAAGGGGGAAAAAAAGCAACTCCTGGAGGGGTCAAACGATAAAAATTAACCCAAAATTGTTCGAAGATGTCCACGTCAGGGCGATGGAATCTTTCTTCTACCACTTGCTATGGCTTCCAGACGGACACCGGAGGTGGTTATTGCCTTGAGGGAGTCCGGTGCAGACTGTGCACATCCGCTGCTTTAAGTAATGCTCCACAGCCACTACCCCCTCCCCTACCATGCGCTTGGATGGTACACCCTGGCAGGGTCGAGCTGGAAATA